GACACTTAACAGTTACAAAAATAACTTTTAACTTTTTAAAATAAAATAACCGTTATGGATTCAACAAATATTAGTTTAATAAATGTTAAAATGTTATGTATTCTTTCGTGCTTTTGCGATATCAGTTTTAAAATAAACGAAAGTTGCTTTTAACGTTAAGGGAGTTGGTTCTGTCTATAACGTTAAGGGTATAGCAATTTACTAATCGGTTAAGTTACCAACTTAACTTAAAATTTTATTTGTGGTTTTGTTAAATTATTTAACAAACCAATCATGTTTGTTATGTTAAGTTACGGACCCCTGCCGTTCTTCAACTTAATCTACACACGTCACAAATACCAGGTGGCTGATTCACTCCGTCCGCATGCAAGTGCCGCGGGCGGGTTTGCCTATCGTCTCTCTGAACATGAACATGTCGCCTTATAAAAGATAGTCCAGAAAGTGCGCCCGATTTTCTCTGGCGCATTCGGCAACTTACGGGAGGTCGGCGCCTGCGAATCACAGGGTAGGCCACCCGGCAGTACACGCATGCACTGCTGGTAAGCTGTTGCCTACCTACCAGGCGCTCTGGGGCGTTCATTTCATAGAGTGAACTGGGCAGGTCCTTAACGGCAAATGGTGGAAGTACTTACTGGATGATCCATCCATCCATCCATCCATCCATCCATCCATCCATCCATCCATCCATCCATCCATCCATCCATCCATCCATCCATCCATCCATCCATCCACATCCATCCATCCATCCATCCGTCTGGAAAGTGCGTCCGTGGTTTTCGCTGTGAACATGCATGTCACGTTATGCAAGCAGTCATAGCGCCTGATGGGTAGGCAATATCTTTTGTGCACTGCATGCGAGTAATGCGGGATGGCCCGGGTGAAACGGTTTGTATACAACTCACTAAGAAATTTTATTACAATTTATATACTTTCATAAAATTGAATATGATTGTGTACACCGTAATTCAACGATATAAAGGGTGTTTTACAAATGTGTATAATATTTGGTAAAACTTTATACAACTATATACAGAGGCATGTATACGTTTTTATAAAATCAAATACAATGTATATACAATAAACGTGCCATATATAAAGCGACGTATGTTAGAGCATCGTTGTACCTCACGCATGTATACAGCCACATACATGTGAATAAATGTCACCTTGCCCTACATTAGAATGTATACAGGCACATACACTCATACAGTGACTAGTAACGTTTCTGGCACTCCCCTAAATGTAGGCAAAATGTGGTTGAGTTCTAAAATGCAGCATAACTTGTAAACGGCTACACATAGGGAAGTGAAACAACCACTATCGTGCTCAGGGCAAAAAGATGATTCGGAAAATATATTTGCTAAAAACGACAGCCACCCACTCAGGCCGCTTTTCCCGTGAGTAAATTGAAACGCTCAAGTATATATTGTATAAAATTTTATAAAAAGGTATACTGACAAAGTAATACAGTTTTACCAAATATAATACAATTACCTTTATACAGCTTTCTTGTATACCTCTGTATACAAACTTACTGTCAATGTTTTTTCACCCGGGGGCCTACCCCGAGTCTCGCAGGCGCCCCCGTAATTGCCCCTACTATGAACACGAGAAAAACGGGTGGACTTTCTGGGCGATCCCTACACACCGAGCGAGTAGGCAAACCAGGCAAACTGCGTGCGACCGTGATTGTGGCAAACGGCGGGGCTAACTGTTAGCCAACTACACTGCAAAATTCTTGCAAAGAATTTTGAAGCGTTGTAAGGAAGTTTGCATAGCAAACAAATTTAATCGTGAGTTGCGAAGTTAAAGTTTGCAAGGTTATGAACTCATTTTTGAAGCGATACGAACAATTTTCTTTGTAAGGTGTGACAAACTAGTTCGAAATGTTGGAAATGTGAAGGATTTAGTTCGCAATGCAAACCATTTTAAAACGCTTCAAAATTCTTTGCAATACAAAGAACAGTTCTTCGCAAGCTTTTTGCAGTGTGGTATGATGTTTAACATTGAAATGTTGGACGTAATTTTGACTTGCCTTCGACGCACCCACGAAAGCAGATGATAAAGACGCGATCGTAACGTTTCCTTGGAACTGTTTGCAGGGAGACTCGGGCGGACCGCTACTGCTGCAGATGAACGACGGTCGATGGTGCAACATCGGCATCGTGTCGTTCGGCGTGCGCTGCGGCGAACCGGGCAAGCCCGGCGTGTACACCAACGTGGGGAAGTACCTGGACTGGATCGCCCAGAACACACGGAGGTGATCCAGCTGCTGAGAGAGAGGTAGGACCAGGGATATAGAGCGTCACCACAATAAACCCCCCTTCAACTAAAAACTAAGAAAATGTGAGAAAAAATGCATTTATGGGTTTAGAACGAAAATCTAAACTGGCTCGAAAGTTGTATGAGTTTTATGTTTTCTCACGTACAAGCACTAGTAAGCAGCCCACCCTTCTGCTTTGAAAAGACTATCAAGTTTCTTATCTTCTCTAGAATAGTTTTTATTCTATTTTTGATATCAGGAGGGAGCAAAGAGGAAGACACTTGAAGGGAAATACTCGAGAGAGGGTTTAATGATTATCTGCTTACTGGTTTTGCAAAGTGTGGTAACCACTACTGACAGTTGACGTTCTGACAATAATGACAAGATTTCGTTTGTAGCACGATGTAGTTAATACGGTGTCGGAACTGAGCTGTCTGAGAGGGCCACGGAAAGACGGCACATTCGTAGTTCCGGAAGAGCCGCCAGTGGCGCTGGCGTCGACCGATGCCGGGCGAGGGGAGAAGGGACGAGACGAGTGGGGCACCGCTCCCGTCCCCTCCCGCTTCCCCTCGCCCGGCATCGGTCGACGCCAGCGCCACTGGCGGCTCTTCTGGAACTACGAATGTGCCGTCTTTCCGCGGCCGTCTTTTAGCCCGCTACCGGCCGGAGAGCCTACACCGTATTAACTACATCGTGGTTTGTAGGGTTTGTAGGGGAAAATGAGACACCTCCTAAATTGGAGAAGAATGAGACATTCGCTTCTCTTGACTGGTTTGCTTGCTTTTTGACCTCATTCACTAGTGTTGGAGTGCTTATAATTTACACTCTAAAAAACCAGTACAGAATTTTGTAATTTTTTACGCAGTAATTAATTTGCATATCACTTTTGATTCAAATATCTTTAAAAAACGTGATACAGCGTGGGTAAGAAAGATACACCCAGTTCCATTGACGTTATGGGAAGACAATGCGGGGAAAAATGAGACAAAAATTGAAGTGGTGCTGTCAGTCTCGTTTCTACCTAAGGAGGGTCCCTATGGTATTTGCTGAGTTCTTGCCTGTCTCATTCTTCCCCTCGGGTGTCTCATTTCCCCCAGAAAAGGGAAAAGACACTTACTATCTCGTATTCTGCATACAGCAGAGGTTGTGGCACTGAAATAATGATTTAATTTCATTACTGGGGTTGTTTCATCGACCACTAGGACTTATCAAATGACTATTTTGACTAGTTAAATGCTAGAAAAGACAAAAGTTCGCGAAACGTTTATTTTCCCCCCTACCGCACCTTACTTCGTAGCCCACTTTGTGACGCCATTTGGCTCACAAAATCAAGTAATTATTTTTTTAAAGTGTTAATTTTTCTTTTCAGTGTACCTGCAGTACCTGAAGAAAGGTGTGACGAGCGGCCTATATGCGTCAAATCAGTGATCACTGCACTGTGGAGCAAAAGTGTGTGTTCTCACTGAAAGACCTCGATTCCACGGGTGGCCTTCCGCCTAGTCCCAGAAGCGATACTACAATAGTCGCAACTAATAGGTAGAGAATAATTATTTAAGAATACAATAAAAAGTAAACAAACGGAGAAAGATTAACATGCAGAGCATTCATTGCTGCTACCTCACCCGGTGGAAGCAGCCACCTGCAGCGCGCCCGAGGGGTAGGCAACCCATCGAGCCCCGCGGCCCCGCCGCTTGCCTCTTCTTTTTTTAGCGGGGTAAGCAGGCAGAGGCGTTTCAAAGCCGAGGCTGGCCGGGCCATCTGCCACCCTACTTTGGCACATCGGATCGTAGGAGCGGGGGAGGGGGGGGGGGGCGCCACCGCCACCTCTGCGCGAGTCGCCCTCGCGGCGTCCCCGCGCACCGCATCGCCATGGCGCTCACGTAGTGCGTCTGTTCGGGGGCGCGACCCTCGGCCAGGCGCCAGGCGCCAGGCGCAGCCACTTCGGGTCCCGCGCCGCCCCTTCGCGCTGCCCAAAGCAATTTATGCCGATCTTTCGTTCCGGTTGCCGGCAAAGAGGGCGCCGCCGTGCCACGCGCCCATATAGGAGGGTTGTGGGGTGGCGGCGGGGTGTGATTCCAGATCCTCCGCCCCCCGGCTGGCAGAGGCACACACTTATGTAGCTGATCGTTCGTCTTTTCTCCTCGCGGCCCTTTTCCGGTTCCTTTCCTCCACGTCCTCACGAGTTTGCAAGAAAATGGAGAACCGTATTACAAAAGACTAAACATAATTGTTTATTACATTGACAATTAAGAAAAGCACATACAAAATAATAAGACAGGTACGAAATAGTTCCAGTAGCTGTGTTATTGGAAATGCCACCAAGCACTCAAATGTAACATGAAAGCTCTTTGTACTGAGATCACCAAATTCGAGAGCACGGCACGTCTCCCGACCACACCCCTCCCATAGGGGCGCACGATATAATCTCTTACGCATGACGTCTTCTGCTAAATGCACAATTTTATGCGAGTATAATTTTACGCTTATTTTATTTATGGACCAAAACCCTTTATTTACAGGAAACAAACACCGAACAGCTGCTCAAAATTATACTTGCAGAAAATTATGTCCACAGAAAATCACATTTCACAGCGAACCCTGCGACACTGTAGCTCACGGTCAATTTTCAAGGGTGATGCACCCTGATTCACCGCAGCTCACAGTGACATTCACCGCTCCAAGGTCGCTGTAGCTTGCAGTGAAATTCGCCGTAAGCATTTAACAACAGTGCATGCATTTTTCAGTTGCACAAAATGTAGAAAACGTCGCGGATGAAAAATGCTCGATGTTGACGTCAAACGCATAAAGTCTCTCTCGCCGCGACTATCTCCTGGGCGCCTTCTCGGCGCGCAGCTCGGCGTACACGTCCTCCCACAGGCGCATCCGCTCGCCCCCGAGGCCGCTGCCCACCGCGATGTGATCCGTGATCATGGCGTAGCGCGCGTCCTGCGCGCTGCCCTCGGCCGCGGGCCAGCCGTGGTGCTCCACGGTGGCGTGCCTGGTGGACAGAGAGAGGAGGGGGTAACGTCTGGTAACGTCAAAGGAAAGGGAGCTTCGCCAACCGAGGGGAGTGCGTGTACATTTTTGAAAAAGCTTCGAACTTCGTCATTTTGAAATTTGATGAATTTGGTTGGCCGTGAACTTTCATGATAAATGTGCGTGGTGAGAATAGTGTCTGATTTTTTAAAATTAAAAAAAAACAAACAAACAAACGATTACTTTTAGAAACTAATTTGATTTTTGAGGAAATCCCCGAAAAAATGAGGAAAACTTTCAATTTTTGGGAGGAGCTTTCCTCAAACTAAAGGAGTTCCTCAAAGATTTTTCCCGAAAAAAATATTATCAGACAGTGCTTTTACCGCGATGAACTCCGACCTGAAGTTTTGGCAAGGTGTGTTTTTGTCGTGCTGCTTTTTATTTTCCCTGTGGTGCGAGTGAGAAAGCGAAACGAAATAACTCACTTGGCGAAGTCGGTCCACAGCGTGGTGAGGAGGTGCAGCGCCTTGGAGGAGCGCGACCCGCCGCGGGCCGTCTGGTTCAGGTCGCGCGGGGAGGTGATGTGCAGCAGGTAGCCGAGCTCGTCCGTGTGTGTCGCCCCTGCAGCGACAGACACGTCAGGAGGGGAACTTCCCTTACTGTCTTGTCCATCTCCTCGGCACACTCACCCATCTCCGTGATGCCGAAGGACACCTTGCCCCAGTTGTAGTCGCCGTCCTCCAGGAAGTGGTACAGGTGGAGCGGGGCGGCGCCCTCACCCTTCCGCAGCCGCAGCTCGGCGAGCCGGTGCGTCGCAGACGCAGTGAACAGGTCGCCGAGGAGCTGTGCAAAGCAGGCCATGTATCTCCAGCTTCACAAAACGCTCACAACCGCTCGTTACGACGAGTCCAATGTAAATTAGCGGTACCGATGTACATTTTCGTTCTGATGAAACTGAATGATACACAATCCTAATGAAATGACCCCCAAAAGTACCTTCACAGTCACAGTCTCTGTACAGTTCACACCCAGAAAAATGAAAAGTTGTAGCAACCATCTCATAGTTACTTCAGGGACAACCATAAAATTTGGTTGAGACAAAGATCTGCCAGTTGTAAAAACCGTATTTTTATTTGTTGATACACCTGTGCTATTGTTGCATCAACCATATTTTATGGTTGTCCCTGCAGTAACCATATGATGGTTGCTAGAACTTTTCATTTTTCTGGGTGCAGCCCCTTTCCCGGGTAGCGTCAGCTGGCGATGCGGACACGGCAAATCTTGAGTGGTGCGACAAGTCGCACTTTTGCTGGATACCTTGAGTTTTGACACCCTCTCCCTGACGCCAACTAGATTAAAGTGATTGGCCACCCTGGATTTCAGTGTAGGCAACGACAACGCTCTGGAGCAAGAGGGTAGCCTACTCCTACTTCGTCAGGGAGCCGGCCTGCCTGCCACACAGCGCACAGTGCACCCCTCCCCATCCCCTCCCCCTCCATTTTCCTCCCTCCTCCCCTCCTCCTCTCCCCTCCCCTCTCACCGGTATGAAGTCTCCGTTGTTGGCCCCCGCCAGGCCGTACTCCTCCTTGATCCTCGCGCCGAAGGCGGCAGCCTGCTCCGGCGAGACGGTGATGGTGTAGTTGCCGTTGGCGCCGGGCAACCCCAGCATCCGGGCCGTGTCGGGGTACGGCGCCACGTTGGGCGATAGCATGAGCGCCGGGTTCTGGGCGAGGGCCGCCACCGTGGCGGGCTGTTTCTTCAGACCTGAGTACGCAAAACAGAGGAAGCTCAGAAATTGCCCACATTCTTTTAGGAAGACAAGAAAATGGGAATTCATATAAAGTCAATTATTAATTTTCAGTTTCTATTTACGAGAAAGATTGGTTTCAGTTTTAAATGTTTTAAAAGAGTCTGAACGTTTTGATGTGACCTTACCACCCACTACGCGGCAAATAAAATACATTTTGGTTTTCTCGCACTATCAAAATTCAAAACTCACCTCCGAAGTAGAAGGCGAAGTTGCCCTCCTGGCCCGTGAGGCCCGCGATGGTCGGGACGTACGCGCCGGGCTCGAGGCCCCGCTCCAGGCTCTCGGGGTCCTGCGGCAGGAACTTCTCCTGGCCGCCCTCCTGTCGACGCTCGGGGCTCGGGCAGAACGCCGGATTGCCAAGCTGCAGATTTGGCTGCAACAGACAGGTTTTCGGTCCGAGGTGCAGCAGGGTGGGGTGGGGTCAAGTCCACTTGGTAAAGTACCTGGACTACATACAGGTGCTAGTGGCCCACTTTCTCATCGAGTTATAATACCTCCAACAGATCAGACTCTGCTTTTATTTAGTCACCGTTTTGCCTCACTCACGTCGGCCTGTATCATGCGGAGGGTGGCGCTGAGGATGTCCTGGGCGCTGGCGTTGCGGAAGGCGCGCGCCATCTGCCGGGCGTCGGCGGTCTTGGCGCCGAGCTGCTCGCTCAGCCGCTGCGCCATGGTGAGGTGCGCCTCCGTGTACGCGAAGCCGGCCAGCGCGTTCCCGCTCTGCATGATGGCGGCTCGGAACAGGCCTGGAGGCGAGGCAGCGAAAGGGGTGATCAGTTCCCGAACCTCCCCCCAAGAGCAATTTCGAAACGCATCGTCGTCGTGTCGCAGACCATCACTGACCTCGGCTCGAGGGTGCGATAGTGTGGTAGTGCACCGACGCGGACCCCGCAGAGTTGCCGAAGATGGTGACCTTGTTCGGGTCGCCGCCGAAGAACTTGATGTAGGTCTGCACCCAGCGGAGCGCCGCCTGCTGGTCCTTCAGCCCCATGTTCCCCGGGATGTCGTCGTTGTCCAGGTTCAGGAAACCTGGCAACCGTAAATTATTATTTTAAAAGTTCTCAGGAACTTTATAGAAAGTAAACTTTCAGTGTACCAATGGATATTTCAACGGAAATGACAGAAGAAATAAACATGATAATCAAAGACCTCAACAGCACGAAAATGAGTAATTTCTCTCTTTACCAAATTTTATGTGGAATCATTTACATTACTTCCAATTCACCTGACTAAAATCTGATCATGTCCTGTCGGCCTCGGTAAGAATGAGCAGAACGTTTTTGAATGACCTTTACTTCAGTGCATCCAAACAGAAAACGAACACTGAGACGCGCGGTCCCGGAGGGTCGACGGGACGAGAGTGCATTCGGCAAGGCGTCCTTGTCTGGGTCCAGCCAGGAAAACCAGGTGCATTGAAAAAAAAAAGAGTGAAAAAGGCGACTGGCCCAGGAAGCTGAATAAGCTGCCTCCTTGCTAGACCGGGCGGACGTTCCCACACAACTTTCAGCGGGGCGACCTTGGTGCCGCTGGGGGCGTTGGACTCGGTAAGGAAGCAGGGCCGGTGACAGACGTCACAATTCTTCACTACTCTTTAGGTAGTTCGGATCCGAATTGCATACGATACTCGCAGTGCGGATAGCGCAATCCGGTCGATACGCACATGTCTCTAGTTGCGCACCGTAAGCAGGACGCGGCTCCACCCGCGCGAGGACTTAGGGGTCGTTAAAATACTACGTGACTTTTAGGGCGGGGGGTATCACAAATATTATGGAGTCTCAAAATGCTCAGGGACATCTCTATGGGGTCCGTATACTCCATGATATTTGTACCCCGGAGTACAAATGTTATGGGGCCCTGCATCGCGTAACTCACCGAAGGCGGCCAGTCTGTAGTTGAGGGTGACCAGGATGACGCCGTGCCGCACCAAGAAGTCCGGGCCGTTCTCGGCGTCGGTCCCCGAGCCGTACACGTAGCCGCCGCCGTGGATGTACACCATGACTGGGAGGTTGTCGAGCAGGTCGCCGACGGGCGTGTACACGTTGAGGTACAGGCAGTCCTCGTTGGTCTGCATCTTCCCGCTCGGCACCTCCACCTGGGCGCACTTCGGATCACCGCCCTGGCGGCCCGAGCGCCGGCGTTGTGACAGGTGTGGTTGCGGGTTCTGTGCCAGAGACAATTCTTATTCTCCCCCTCTCTCTCTCGCTCTCTCCCTCCCTCTCTTTCTCCCGCGTATATGCTTACTTTGAACCTGAGGTCGCCGACTGGTGGCTTGGCGTAGGCGATATTCTTGAACGCTATGGAGCAGAAGTGGTCAGCGCCTTTGACTACGTCGCCCAGGACCGTGAACATCTCCTGGGCGGGCTCAGCCGGTATGGCCACCTGGCGGCGATGACGGACGCGACCCCTGAGCAAAAGACACTGGGTCAACAAACAATGCACTGCAAATACCAGAGTCAGATATCCCGCTCGCCAGAGAACGAGATCAGGGATCCTCAAAACGTCACGTGTAAGCGAGATTATTTTTGTGGTTCCATTTGAGTCATTATTAGGGTTCCTGAGGTTACCCAATGTGAGGTTCCTCTGAGGCTCACTCTCGAAGAGTGAGAATGTGACTCCCAGCAAAAGACAAGCATACATGTCTTCGTTTTGTTTAGGCGAGAAAATATTGTGCGCTGTTAAAAAAAGTTGTCAAATTGTGACACACTTGGTGATGAGTATTTTGTTAAAAAACAAAATCATTCGTTTTCATTGGTATGTGATAAAATTTCCTCTATTTTATTCTTAGTGGTCCATAGCAATTATTAGTTATCACCATGTTGTAATACCACAACAAAACCGTTGTAAAGTTGGTGGATAGCAACAGTACATATATCGTTACAAAACGAACAACTTTGTGTAATTACAACAAATTTTTGGCGCAGGCCGAAGTAAATAACCACTGTTTTGAAATGAAAATTTGTTTACGAAAATTTTGTGAATGTTTTTGGATTACAACATGTTTTGTTTTTAACAACATTTGTCGCTATTAAACATTACGTCAAATAAGTTGTAAATTTACAACGGATTTTATAACAGTGATATACACCTCTATTTTGACAGTTTTAATAAGATGATCGGCAAGTCTCTACCCACACGGCTCGCTGCTGACTGCTGCCGGTGGGAGAGGTGGCCAGCGGGGACAACCCCTCCCCCTCCCGCCAATCAATCCAGGTGCGTTTCGAGTGCGGATGTACCGGGAGATACAAAGAAGACGCAGGCGAGG